GAGCGGGCTCTGCGGGAGAGGCGGCTGCTGCAGCTGCGACGGGATCAAAACCAAAACAAAGCAGCCCCAAATCCACGAACAGGGCAAACGTCAGGCAACAACCGGCAGAAAAAGGCCGGGAAGCCGCCGCAGGCACCACCGTTCCTCCTCACGGGGAGCACATGTCACCGCCGGCGTGGTGGCAGCTGGCGCGGCCCCGGCGGGCTTTATGCGGCGGGAGGAAGGGCGTGGGTGAGCACCGGTGGCTAATTGGAGAGGGGCCTTCGGAGCTGATAGGGCTCGGAGCCTCGCTGGGGACAGCTGGAAGCTGACAGAGCACGTAGGGAGATTGGGTCGTTTCTTATTTTGGGGCAAAAGCGGCCGGTGATGCAGGACCCCCTCGGCTCGAGCAAGCCTCCGAGGCAGGTGGCTCTGGTAGGGATTTCCTAGAGGAGGTTGTCTAGGGCAGAGCGCAGCCTGTCTCTGCCCTTTGGCTGGTGATCTTCTGGAGAGCCCAGCTTTGAGGGTCAGTGGCTCCAGGGCAGCTGGGTTATACTGTATGAGAGCCGTGGCTTTTCACATCTCTTTCTAAATCTCCTGGCTTGGGCAGCAGTGCCCGGGGAGCACCATTTTTAACAAACGCTTCCCAGGACTTTGATTACTGCTTGGTGCCTTTAAAATCACAATTCAATTGCTTAGGCTGTTTTAATCTGTATATACATGTTCATATATAGTAAAACCTGAGTAAAACTCATCTATATAAATATATATGCATTTCTATTTATTACTTGATAAATAACTGAATTTGGATTTTGCAGTATAAAACCTGGCAGGGTGGCATTCTCTCAAGGAGAGTCTCCAGGATGGGGTACTTGCTGCTTCTTCCTTCCTATTAAGATACGGTTACTTCAGCTAATGCAAAAATTGTATTGTGTATAAGGTTTGTATCAATAATGCAAAAAGGTCACTGCAGCAAAGCCTTACATCATCTTAGCTGTTCCGTGCTGGCAGAGCTGTAGGAGTTTATGCAGAGCAGGAATAAGTCAAATGCCCTGTGTGTTTATTTTCCAGTGTTGCACATGTTCATGCTGCCATCCATGTCCTCCAATACCAGTACAGTGTCCTTCAGACTAAAATTTTCCATCATAAAACCTCCCAATTAATATAACTAATGGCAAAAGACTGGGAACAGGATTGTTTCGTAAAGGCCTTGCTGCATGTCACAGAAAGACTCAGGATCCTGCTGGCTAAATGGGATGGTGTATAGATAGGAGCCTCTTCTGTTGTTGAAAGAATGAACGCCCTTCATGTACTTGGAGCAATGGGATGGAGTGTTTTGTGCTCCAGCTCTAAGGTTGTTTAGCTCAGGTACAAAAAGTAGGGAGTCATATATATGAGTAGCCAATGCACAGTGATGCCTATACAGCTGTAAATCCACTGCTTTTGAAATTTAGCTACAACCTATAGTTCTGTGGAGTGGTTTGATAGACAGACCGTACCATTGTGCTCTAAGGAGAGATTGAACACCCAGAGTTTTGTTAATCTGTCAGCCTGCTACAACTGCACAGAGCGATGGGATTCAGAGAGAGAATCCAATTGAGATAAGGCTGTTTAGAAATGGCAGAAGATCTTCAGCTTTTAATGGGAAAAAAATTGGCTGGAGCTTGAAAGCTGTTTTATCTGAACCAGTTAGGCCTGAAGAGACTTATCTTGGGGCGCAGGGGGAGGGAAAAAAAGGGTATGTTGACTGCCTTAAGATATGAAGGGGCTGGTTTGTTGTTCTAGTTAGCTCTCCCTGGAATGGGTGAAAATAAAACCTCATGTTCACCTGATTTAGCAGTTGGGTATGCAGCACCTTTTGGTGAGTCAGATTTTATCCACCTGGAAACCGCATGGATGGGTTAGTGTGGGGCAAGTCTATGTAAAAGTCTACGGCTAAACTCTGCCAGCTGGCAGGAATGGAGCTGCTAGGACAGTCTGATCTAGGACCTAGCTGTAGCTCTATCAGTTCTTGCTCAGTGGAAATTGTAGCTGTTCTGATGGAGACAAATTGTTTTGAGTGACTTATACGTTATGTCCTGTATAGGACTAGCTTCTGTCCTTCCCACCAAGTCATCCTGGTTAGAGCATCAAAGCAATCTCAAGACATGATGAATGACTTTGCAGGATTCCTTCTCAACTCTTCTTCAGGGCTTGTCATCTGCTAATGATACATCCCACACTTATCTAACGCTGAATGGGAGGAAAACAAACAATTATTAAACTACTCCTGAGGGAGCTGTTTTTTCCTATACTCATGGTATGAGATACAGAAGCCACAAAGCAATGGAAGGGGGAAAGGCACGGAGGAAGCAGAATTTAGAGGAACCAATCGAGCAAAGGAACCAAACAACCCTTTAAGGGTTTCAGTGCTCCAAAGTTTGCCTTACCATAATAATATGCTGGTACTAGATTATTCCCCAAGTACTACTGCTGGATTTGGTAGATCATTGGAAGTGTAGGGGTCAGAGATTTCAGAAATTAAAAGGTCTGTGATGATCACAAACCATGAGAAAACAGAATATTGGAGATACTAAAAAATATCAGCTGTCATATTTGTTTGCATTTGGAAACACTGACTGGTGAGTAATTAGGAATTTCAGGAAAAGTATCTCTATTTAAAATTTACATACCAAGACTAATCTGCTCCATCTATTAACATCCAGCACATTTTCCTCTTCTCCCTCGAGCTAATCCTTTTCTCTCACTTCCAGAGAGAAACTTTGACTTGTTCTCACATGGTAGTTACTTGGTAATTGTGATGGTCGTTTTGAAACAAGGATTCATATGTGGAACTGTACTCTGGCTTATAAGAAAACTTTTATATTTAATAAAACTTCTGATACAGGGTATTTACTGGTTTATTCATCTGGAAGATCTTTGCCAAAAGTTTTTATGGCAGAAGGAAAGTACATGAAGCTCTGAAAATTGCTGTGACATGCTGATTATTGGCTGAAGAAAAATCTGGATGATAATTTGTACTTTTACAGCTCCTTTTCTCCTACAACCAAGCGTATATTCTCAAAGTCCAGTCTTTGGCATTCGTTTATTTGTGTTAATAACTAAAACAGTAAAATAACTGAAGAACATACCTGATCCAGCAGTTCC